GTGGGAGGGTAAGGAGGGAGCCGGCCCTGCGGGTGCACGGAGCACCTGGATACCCCTGGCCCTGCCCGCAGCACCGGCTGCTCCCGCTTGCGCAGGGAGCTGGAAGAGCCTGGGGGTCCCTGTGAGCCGCCCATGGACCCTGTCCTTCCCTTTCCATAGGGGCAAGTTCGGAGAAGTCCACACGTGCACGGAGAAGCAGACGGGGCTCAAACTGGCGGCCAAAGTCATCCGCAAACAGGGTGCCAAGGACAAGGTGTGATCGGGGGCGGGCTCTGTCCCAGGGCATCCCCTCACCGCGCTGCCACCGAGCTGGCACGCGCTGGTGTGACCGAGGGCTGTGACAGCCCGTGGCCTGTGCACATGGCGCCTGGTTCAGCCTGGGGCTGCTCCTGGAGCCGGTGGCTTGGCCGGGCTCTGACACCCCTGTGGGCTCTGCAGGAGATGGTGCTGCTGGAGATCGACGTGATGAACCAGCTGAACCACCGCAACCTCATCCAGCTCTACGACGCCATCGAGACGCCGCGGGAGATCATCCTCTTCATGGAGTTGTGAGTGTCGGGGCAGGGCTGGGGTCTAGGCGAAGGGTCCGAGGGACCATTGGTGGCAGCTCAATCATCTTGGGAGGTGGGGATGGACCCGCTGGCCCTTCTTGCCCAGCAGAGAATGATCCAGGACCCTATGGGGTCTCCTTCCTGTGTGGCCGCTGCTCTCCCTACCGACTTGCACTGAGCAAGGCTGGGGTGATGCTACCCCTCTCTGCTCCCTGGATCTGGCGCATCCTGGAATAGCCCAGGAATTCCACAGGAATGGGGCATCCCGGGCTGGCCAGCAGCTGCGCTGCATTGGTGGAGACGGCTGTGTGGGTGGTGTGGGGTGCTGGGTGACACTGCGGCCCGTCCCCGTGCAGCGTGGAGGGCGGCGAGCTCTTCGAGCGCATCATCGACGACGACTACCACCTGACCGAAGTGGACTGCATGGTGTTCGTGCGGCAGATCTGCGAGGGCATCCGCTTCATGCACCACATGCGCGTCCTGCACCTCGACCTCAAGGTGCGCGGCTGGGGCCGTGCCGGGGCCGCGGGTCCCTGCGCACCCATCTGCTCCATGTGGGCAGAGCCGCCCGTCCTGCCCCGCCCGGGCCCCGTGACACGTGGGCACCAAATCCCCGCGCGTCCTCTGCACGGGGACGTCCCATCTGCCTCGCGCCCTAACGCCGGGCTCCCTGTCCCTGCAGCCTGAGAACATTCTCTGTGTCGCTGCTACCGGCCACATGGTGAAGATCATCGACTTTGGGCTGGCTCGAAGGTATCTGCTCTCCTCCTGGTCTCCCTTTCCCCGCTCCCTTTCCTTTGCTTCTACTTGGTCTCACTCCAGCACATGGGGACAGGGAGGCTGTCCCAGCCCCGCAGGAGGAAGGAGCCATGGTGGGGACAGGGTGGCTCCTGTCTGTGAGTGGCTCTGGCTGCAGCGCTGCCTGGGGGACGCGGTTTGGGAGCGCTGTAATAACAGGCTGTCGTGGCTGACGCAGGAGGGAGCGGGGCCAAACCAGGAGGGTCTGATGACGGGAACTGCCTTGGCCTTTCTGCGGGGTTGGGAACAGTGACGTGGGGACAGTCTGCCACCTCCCTGCTCACTTGTCCCCTTGGTGCAGGTACAACCCTGAGGAGAAGCTCAAGGTGAACTTCGGCACGCCGGAGTTCCTGTCGCCGGAGGTGGTGAACTACGAGCAGGTCTCCTACGCCACGGACATGTGGAGCATGGGCGTCATCACCTACATGCTGTAGGTGACGGGCTGTGCGATGGGGGCCTTTTTGGGACACCGGGGCCAAGCCTCTGCTGCGACCCTTGGCCGCTGCCCAGCATGGAGCGAGTGCCCAAGGCTCCCACATGCCCAGAGCACTGGAACCGGGGGCTGGATCACACCGGGGCCACCGGCTGCAGGGCTGGAAGCTCGGGATGGGAATGGGTGCCTGGGGACCTGTGGCCGAGCTCGGTTTGCGCAGCTGGAATTGGCAAGGGGCAGGGAAATGGGGCTGTGCAGGGACCCAGCCTGGAGGCACCTGGCTCCTCACCCAGCTCTCCCCTCTCTCCTAGGCTCAGCGGCCTCTCCCCCTTCTTGGGTGACAACGACACCGAGACACTCAACAACGTCCTGGCTGCCAACTGGTACTTTGACGAAGAGACCTTCGAAAGCGTCTCTGAAGAGGCCAAGGATTTTGTGTCAAATCTCATTATCAAGGAGAAAAGGTTTGAGGCTTGCAGAGCTTGCAATGGGGCTGAGGGCAGGTGTCCATCTCTGTGTGCCACTTACCTGCCATCTGCACTGATGCCAGGGCCAGCAAGGTCCCCAAGGCCCTGCTCACAGCTGCTGGAGGGGTGGACAGTGCATGCCTAGTTCTGACCCCGGAAGGTTTCTGTGGATCTGGGGCTCATGGATGGCTGGAGAAGGGGCTGGTGGGGGGCTGCAGGGCCTGTGGGGCCAGTGCAGGGTGACCCGTGTCCTCTCGCCCCCAGTGCCCGCATGAGCGCTGGCCAGTGCCTGCAGCACCCGTGGCTCAACAGCCTGGCCGAGAAGGCAAAGCGCAGCAACCGCCGCCTCAAGTCCCAGGTGCTGCTCAAGAAATACGTCATGCGGAGGCGCTGGAAGGTGTGTGGGCTCCTGAGCACCGAGCCCAGCCTGGAGAAACAGCTTCCCAGCACCACGGGTCCTGCCCCTGCATGGGTGCCCCAAACGGGGCTTCCTCTTGTGCACAGCTGCTTTCAGAGCTGTCCCCTTTGGAACAGCTCCTGAGGGCACCGTTGAGGGAACCTTGCCGGGGCAGCAGTGGGTGAGGGCAGGACGAGGGGGCACTCCCAGGGCCGGGCCCCTCTGTGGGTCCAGCTCATCCCTGGCCCAGCTCCCGAACCTCCCCTAGGACCTGCCTGGTTCTGCCTCGGGGGATGCAGCCCTTGCGCTCACCCCAGCACCTCCCCTTTCCCTTCTGCAGAAAAACTTCATTGGTGTATGTGCTGCCAACCGCTTCAAGAAGATCACGAGCTCGGGGTCACTGACGGCGCTGGGGGTCTGAGCTCGGCCTCCGCGTGAGGAGACGGCGGCGTGCGCGTCGAGGCCGAAGAGCGACTGCTGGGGATGGGGGCTGGCGCGCGGCCCCGCACAGGAGGGCGATGCCGTTCCTGCTCCTGGACGCAGCGGGGTCTCCGCTGGGCTGTGCCCCTGCCTGCTGCCCACACTGAGGGCAGGAGTGAGAGGCTGG